AATGGGCCTTGGGGAGGCAGGAGGCTGTGCGGCCCCGTGGCAGCACCTGTCAGACCGCAACCCGTGTGGCTTGGCCCTGGGCCGCGTGACAGGGGATGAGAGGACAGGGCTGTTCTTTACTCTGCCTGGGAAAAGGTGCACAGAGTGCAAATTATCCAAAAGGGGACTTATGCCTTTCTCAATTCTTCTTGAGCATTCCGATCCTGAAGGCTAGAGAGAGAGTTTGTTTACAGCGGAGGCTGGCCTCGCAGACCAGCTCTTAGTCTACAAGGATCCAGTGACTCTGGGGATACACAAATATATATTAAAAAAAAAAGAAAGTTTATAGCTGTGATTTTTTCTGAAAGTTATAATACTGGTTTATAAAATTCTCTTTTCCAAGTTCAGTGCAATTAATTCAGTCAAGACTTAACAGAGCCACACAGAAAGAGGTTTCTGGTTCTGTCTATGGTTGACATAATCAGGAGCTTTCACCAAGAAAGAAAAATGCCGGTGTCCCTTGATAGCTAAACTCCTGCCAGGTGAACTCCTGTTATCCGAACTCATGTTATCCAAACTCAGAACCATGTAAACAGGGACTTGGTTTTGGATGACTCTTTCACTATCTGAATCTGCTCAGTACCTGGAACTCAGGAACCAAACTTACATTTGTAAATATCTTTTGTTACCTGAACATATTAGCTGCCTTGGCTTAGATTGCAAGGGACGCTCTGTTATCCAAATGTATTTATAACATTCGCTGTATAATATAAACATACATACATATACACATATACATACACACATACATGTACACACATATATATATATATGTATATAAACCATCCTTATCCTAAACATCTATCATGCATTGGTGTGCAAGATAAAGAACACCATCTAATACAAAATTACTGGAGCTTCTCCTACCTAATTGTACAGTCAGGCTCAATTCTGCCCTGAGGAAGTATGTGAAGCTATGGCATGGTGGGTGGCATCCTAAGCTGCTTCTTAGGACTCATGGTCACCATGTAAGCCTTTTGGGAAAGGCTTGAAGAGCCATCTACCAACCCCTAGCACCTAGCACAGCAGTCTATATTTAATGGTTCTTCAATGAGTGAGTATCTGGGCCAGCTCAAATGGGGCCATGTGTCAGAAGTAAATAGAAATGGCATTAGCTAAAAGTGATTAGTCTCAGTATCAAATATAGACAGTACAGTATTTGTGGCATAATGTGTACTTATTAATAGTGTTTTATTAATAAAGTTGTGCACCTCAAATGCACAGCTTTTTCAAATATAAGGGTTTTATTCTTGTTGTTTTTCTAAATCCTCCAACTATATGGTTTTACTGCTATTTATTCAGAATAGAATCAAGCTAAATGTTTTTTAAAAAAACACCTTACTTGTAGGGGTGGAAGCAACTTCTTACCTATGGACCAGAGTGTTCTTGAGGCCACCCACCAGGCCTCGGGCGATGGTCTTCACTCTGGGGGTGAGAATCGCTTGGGAGACGTGGAAGGAGCCGCGTGGGGCCCGCTCACTCAGAGTGGTCTCCAAGAAGAGGATTAGTTTGTGCACACTTGTGGTATTTGCCCAGGGTGCTGGAATCTTCTTTCCCGGCCACAGGAAGGGGTATTGCTTGTAGAAGGGACAGTGGTAGAAAATAAGAACCTGAAACATTCAAGACAGAAAAAATGAGAGTAATTCATGAAAAAGCTGCATCTTAACTTCTGGGTTTTATACTGTTAGATGAGAAAAAGGCAAACAAATATAATCACATGTGGAAATTCAAGAATTGTTATATATATTTTTTAGAAAATAATTAAGCAAAGATTTACTGAGCACTTACAATATTCCTGACTCAAAGATTCTTAACTGCTTTTTCTTTTTGTCATGAGCATCTTTGGCAGTATAGTAAAATCATGGACCCCCTTCTCAGAATTATATTTTAAATGAATGCATAAAATTAAATCGACAGCATTAGAAAGGAAGTCAATAATATGGAAATATAGCTATCAATGTATTAAATATGTAATACATTCATGTATATGCTTCATGATAAATGCATTAAATAAAAATATTTTGTTGTGAGTCTAGTAAATCCCACAATTTGAGTTAGTGATGAGCATAAATGGTATTTTAAGATATCTGCCATAACTGAAATAAGATATGGACACATCTATGGAGACAAAGTAACAAAGCCAGTGGATCACTGCCTGCTCTCATAAACAATGGGTATACTAACTTTCAATTGAATCTTAGTAAAAATGAATATGTAATTTTTCCCATCCAAATTCACAGACTTCTTAAATTTTACCCATACATAAGCCCCGGAGAATCTTTCAACGTCAGGCTGAGAATTCTGAGGTTGAATTGGCCAGTAAGGTCTAGAAGTTATGTCTCCTATGCTCATGAAATTGACACATAGCTTTTGGAGCTGAGAAAAAAACACTGAACTGATTTGTGAGTAAACAGATTTTCAATTGTGCGCGCTGACTTGGAATGAAATCGCCCTTCCCAGGACGGGGAGGGCGTGCGCCACTTCAGACAGGCAAGGCTTTGCAGAGGCAGTGGGCCTCCAGCAGGGCTGCTCAGGATGGTGGTGATTTTGAAAATAATTAGCAAACCACATTCACAGCATTAATTAGTCTCTGGGAGGCAGCGGTGGGACAGGGAATTGCTATTTCGATTGTCCCAATTCAGAGCTCTGTTGTGTGGGTTTCTAGAAGTAATTTTTTTTTCCCCTCCTGGGCACCAGTGATCTTTTCCTGGAGGAATGTCCTGTACGTGTTTATGCCGCCTGGACTGCAATCCTCGGATAGCTGGCCACAGAGCATAATCCTCTGGGCACCCAAGAGCAAGCGCTCTGAATGTCAGTCTTGTTTCCAGTGCGCATTTAGCTCGTGACTAAGGTGCCTGACTAACTGCTCCTGAAGGGGAGAGCCAGGCCAGATGCACTGAGCTGGGTAATGGCTGTTCTTGCTGTTTTTAATGGTTTTGAGTAATGTCTGACTGACTGCTAATGATGTCTGAGGTAAACACGTGTGTTAATGAGGTTAATCACAGGCTCATCGTAAGCAGATTGCCTGGGAGGGCCAGGAGGATTTCCTCCTGGCGTTGTACTTGGCTAGTTTGGAAGGCTGGGGCCTGCGGGGAAAGCCGGCCTGCGAAATGGGCCTTGGGGAGGCAGGAGGCTGTGCGGCCCCGTGGCAGCACCTGTCAGACCGCAACCCGTGTGGCTTGGCCCTGGGCCGCGTGACAGGGGATGAGAGGACAGGGCTGTTCTTTACTCTGCCTGGGAAAAGGTGCACAGAGTGCAAATTATCCAAAAGGGGACTTATGCCTTTCTCAATTCTTCTTGAGCATTCCGATCCTGAAGGCTAGAGAGAGAGTTTGTTTACAGCGGAGGCTGGCCTCGCAGACCAGCTCTTAGTCTACAAGGATCCAGTGACTCTGGCCCTGTGCTTTGCATCTGCCTCCCCACCTCACTCTGCTGTATTTTTCTCTGAAATATTCTCCCCTCCTGCTCAGTAGTTCATGTTCAGTTTTTCACTTGAAATGCAGATTAAAATCTCATTTCCTTTAAGAAATATTCCTTGATGGATCTCTTCTTCTGCCGAGCATTCCTTTATTGGGGGCCTCTGGCAGACAGGCTTATGCTGTGTTCTAGCACTCGGTTGATTTATTATAAAACACTTTTCTTCATATAGTACAGATCATCTGAGGCAGTTTTATCTTGTAATTGGCCACCAGTTGTCTTGTATATTCCTAGTGTTACGTATTCTTGCCTTCTCATTAAGATCATAAATACTTCCAAGATGTAGATTAAATCTTCTAACTCATTCTACCGTCAAAACCCAAAGCCACCAAAGTACAAATAAATATATAGCTGTGAGCTGTGAGGTAAGTTCATGTTAAGTTAATGAAATTTCATTGAATGGTAGTGCACTTCTTGCTATTAAATTGTAGTAATAAAATACTCAGGGAGTTCCATGCAAGGCTGCTCATTACATAATAAATATTTAAAGTTCACTGTGACACTGCCCCAGCAGGGGGAGACGACTGGTGACTCTGTGATCTCTTTGTCTAGCTTTTAAGAAGAGATGCGGCAGGGAAACACGGGGAAGAAAGAGGCATAGAGGGATTTTAGGATTTAATCTGATGACACTCCCCTTTTTCTGATATGTCATCACAGTCTTTCTTTTACAACTTTAGGAGTATTTGTAGTTGGATGACACGGTTAAATTAGCCCGTACCTAAAAACTATGATAGATCATCACTCAGATGCTAGAAATTCACTGTCCACACTGTTTATTATTCCTGAAGATACTTTTTACTCCTGAAGATTTTTAAACAGTTTAGTATGCAGTACGCCAAGCCATCCAGGATACTGTGTATTAAATTATAAAATTATGGCTGGGCGCGGTGGCTCACGCCTATAATCCTAGCACTCTGGGAGGCCGAGGCAGGCAGATTGTTTGAGCTCAGGAGTTCAAAACCAGCCTGAGCAAGAGCGAGACCCCGTCTCTACTAAAAATAGAAAGAAATTAATCGGACAACTAAAAATATATAGAAAAAATTAGCCGGGCATGGTGGCGCATGCCTGTAGTCCCAGCTGCTCGGGAGGCTGAGGCAGAAGGATTGCTTGAGCCCAGGAGTGTGAGGTTGCTGTGAGCTAGGCTGACGCCACGGCACTCACTCTAGCCAGGGCAAAAAAGTGAGACTCTGTCTCAAAAAAATAAATAAAATTATATCCGTATTCAAATTTAACCCTACCTGAATCCCAAAACTCAAAAGCCCTCTTACAGATCTCCATCCATTCCTCCCATTCTGCTTTCTGAGATCCTCTGATAATAGGGATTCATTAATGAAAAGAAAGTGTTTCATTGGCCTAATTACAACACCAGTTGTAAAAATCATGAAGATGTGTACACAGCACTCAGAGAGTATCAGAAGCCACAGGACCTCTGGAGAGCAAGGCAGCCTGTGATTGAGTCCTGGTTCTCACTAACCAGAGTTCTAAATCATGCCCAGCTTTCTCTTGGGCAAGTTGCTTAATCTCTCTATGCCTCAGTTTCCTCATCTATAAAATGGCGATAATAACAAAGTACCTATCTCATAGGGTTGTTGAGAGGATTACAAGAGTTAAGCCATGTACCTAGCCCATTGTAAGGGTTCACGTAAATGTTAGTAGTTGTTGTTGTTATTACTACTATCTAACATTGTAAAAGAGAAACTTCACTGGGAAAAAAGTCTCTCCAAATTAGACCTGAACAGATATAAACTTAGGTTTAGTGGTGAGAGGTGTGATAAATATTTGGAAAAATATTACTTACGGAAGTTTAGTGTGGAAAATGGCTTGAGTAACAGATACTAAGAATTAACTCATTAAGCCTCTATGGAGTCACTTTTAGGGGTGTGCAAAACAACCTGGTACTCGCAGTTACTCAGGCTGAGCCTGGGAGTCATCCTTGAGTCCTCATTTTCTTTCACATCCTGAATCCTATCCATTAGGATACCCTGTTGGCACTACCTTCCGATAGATTCAAAATCCAGCCACTAACCGCTGGGTTCCTTACTTCTGGCTGCTCCTCTGCCCCTGGTCTCTTCCCAGCACAGCAACCAGAAGGATCCCATTAAGACCTAAGTCAGGCCACATCCCCCTGTCCTCAGAACTCTCCTCACTCCAGTGAAAGCCAATGTCCTTACTGGTCTTCAAACCTCACGTGATCGCCCGTCATCTCTCTGACCTCCTCTTGCTACTCTGTCCTCACCCTTCCCCAGCCCCCTGGCCCTGCCATTCCTCAAGGATGGCAGGGGTACTCCTGCTTTAGGGCCTCTGCACTGGCTATTTCTTCTGCCTCCAAAGATCCATGTGATTAACTCCTTTAAGTGTCATCTTTTCAATGAAGGCTTCTCTGATCAATCTATTTAAAATTTCAGCCAACTCTCCAACCCACAGAACCCTGGTTCCCTTTTACCACACTTGACTTTTTCTTTTTCCACAGCTCTTATCTCTTTATAGCATTATATCATTATGTATATATAAAATCACCATTATCTGCGACCTATCACCCTCCACCTGAATAAAAGCCCTGTTAGGGCAAGGTATCTTTGTCTGTTTTATTTACTGATTTATCCCTAGTCCTTAGAAGGTTGCGTGGCACATACTTGGTCTTTAATAAATATTTTCAAGTGAATAATCTTTAACTGATTTTTAATCAAAAGCTCCTCCTTGAGTTCAAAAATATTTGCCTCTAAGATGTGCTGGTTAATGCATCTACTGAGCAAGTGAGCAACTTTATATGAAAGGTACTGCCCTTAACTATTATCATTTGGGATCAGAGTGGACTACATCTGGGCCCACATTCCTTTTCCTGGGCATGTCCCTCATGGGCCTAGGTTTGGAGGCTCTTCTCAACTTAAACAGTCCTGGGAATGCTCTCCCAGCTGGAGCCCCTTTAACGAGCTCTTCCTTCCTTCCTTCTTTCTCCCTCTATGACCCAGATTCTACAAAGAAGGCCTTTTAAAATGTTAACTCTTCTGAGATGAATCACTTCATATGGCTTTGTCAGCTAATGCTTTTCCTTATCAGTCAATACCTTGGCAAGGATTATCTGACACTGAGTTGAAGACAAGATGGAATGGACTATCCCTGAGGGGAACGAGGTGGGAGAAATGGACCTTATGGCAGATAGAATGGTAATGACCAACTGGACCAATTTCACAGCATTCCCTTGGGTTGGTTCTGCCAGGCCATTCAAAGTTAATTTAGATGTTAAACAGGTTGCTAGACAGGTTGCTTTAAATATTTGGCAAGTGTTAGTCCCAACCCTTGAGGCTATTATAGAGCCCAGAAACCAGTTGGCATATGTTTAATATTTCAAACAATCCACACCTTATAGCCTAAGAGCCCTGGACTGGCCCATTTTACAACTGGTGACACAGGAATAGCAGAAAGAATTAAGCCTTGCTCTCAGAAGCTCATCTCTCCTGGCCTCCTACCTGGTACGTCTTCTCCCATAGGTTTTTCAGTGTCATACTTTCCACACTGCAGGTTGGACACAGCTTGTTTCCAAAGGCCTCCTGGATCCGGAGAATCAGGCATTTGTGATGGGCCTCATCCATGGCATAGAAATGGTTAAAATCCAAGAAGACAATCTCTCGGGGGTGCTGTGTAAGAAATGAGTCAATCTCCATCAGCCCATCCCAGACCTTAATGCCGAAAAGCCCGTGGATGAAGTAGATCTCCTGATCAGCATCCCCTGGTTTGGAAGACACACGAAGGTCAAAATAGCGGATTCCAGCTTCTAGTTGTTCCCGGAATGTCAGGTTCTGAGTCACAGACCATTTCTTCATTAGCTTCTTCACCAAAGAGATCCTGGCGAGGCGTTTGATAGCCTGCGTTTGGTCAGGCCCCACTGGGGACTTTTCGTCTACCCAGTAGCTGAATGAATCATGGGAGCCTATACAAAGGAATAAAGGTGAAGAAAGGAGATGAGACAGAAGTTGAGAAAAATAAGACAATTTATAAGAAAAAAAAATAAGAACCAAATACACAAAAAATTGTAAATGAGTAGTTGCAAAAATTTTCAAGCTTGCTAGGAATGAAACACAAAAGTCATATAGTCTTATTAGCTTGTTAAGCCTGGGGTGATACTATAGTTCTCATATTAATATATTGCTAGTATGAGGTAAATTAATAAATAATCTTTTAAAAAGTTATTTGAAATATGCTTGCAAATAGGAGCTTTAAAATATTCATATCATTTGATCTAGTAATTTCATTTCAGGAAAGTTATTCTGAGGAAATAAACTCTAACGGTTGGAAAAACAAAGACATTTGCTGAAAAATATTCATAATAGAGACAAACCGGAGGTTGCCCCTCATAGAAGAATGCTTAACTGGGACATATCCATGTATTCATGCTGTAATTGAAACAAAGGATGTGAAAACACTGTGTCTATCTCAGTAATACTCGGATAAGCATTTAAATTTTAAGAAAGGCAGAATTAAAAAAAGAGTGCCCCCTTTTTATGCTTTTCAAATATAAAACATAAATAAATAAAAATTCCATACTATTTTACTATTGTAAAAATCTGAGTCAGTTGGAATGATTTATTGACAGATCAGGTAAACATTTTGATGGGCTCAATTCAGTTAATATGTTCCTCTTTTCAAATTCCTATTGTAATGAGCCAAAACTGCTATCAATGGTCCAAATGCACATTCTGTTTCTCTGCCTTAAAAAACAAGATGGTAGGATGAAATGTTCTATAAATGTCTGTTACATCCATTTGGTCTATAGTGTGGATTAAATCTGATGTTTCTTTGTTTATTTTCTTTCTGTGGTCCCCAACCCCAAGGCTGCAGTGCAATACTGGTCCACGGCCTGTTAGGAAATGGGCCTGAGCTCCCCACCACCTCCCCCTCACCCACGACACCCCACACTCCTGCCCTCAGTCTGTGGAAAAATGTCTTCCATGAAACTGGTCCCTGATGCCAAAAATGTTGAGGACCACAGGTCTAGATGATCTATCCAATGCTGAGAGTGGGGTATTTAAGTCCCCAGCTATTACTGTATTGAAGTCTATTGCTCTCCTCAGCCCTAATAATATTTGCTTTATATATCTGGGGGCTCCAGGGTTGGATGCATATATATTTAAGATTGTTATAGCCTCTTGTTGAATTGATCACTTTATCATTTTATAATGACCGTCTTTGTCTCTTTTTATGTTTTTTTTTCTTGCCTTAAAGTCTATTTTGTCTAATATAAGTAGAGCTATATCTGTACACTTTTGGTTTCCATCTGCATAAAATATTTTTTTTCTATCCCTTCCTGTTCAGTTTACGTGTGTCATGAAGTGAGTCTCTTATAGGCAGCAAATAGTTGTGTCTTTTTTTTTTTTTCCCATTCAGCCAGTCTATATCTTTAAATTGAGGATTCAAACCTTTTACATTTAAGGTTGTTATTGATAGGTGAGGACTTACTCCTGTTATTTTGTTAATTGTTTTCTAATTATTTTGTATACACTTTGTTCCTTTTTTCCTCTTTTATTGTTTACCTTTACTAGAAGAAAACATGGAGTAAATGTCGGGATGTTGGTCTAGGCAAAGATTTTATGGCTAAGACTTCAAAAACATAGGCAACAAAAACAAAAACAGACAAATAGGCCTATATTAAACTGAAATGCTTCTCCACAGCAAGGAAAACAATCAACAGAGTGAAGAGAAAACTTGTAGAATGGGAAAAAATATTTGCAAACTATTCATCCTCCGAGGGACTAATATCCAGAATTTACAAGGAACTCAAAAACTCAAAAGCATAAATAACAAATAATCCAATTAAAAAGTGGGAAAAGGAACTGAATAAACATTCTCAAAAGAAGACATACAAATGAATGGCAAATAAACACATGAAAAAATACTCAACATCACCAATCATCAAGGACATGCAAATCAAAACCACAATGAGATATTCTCTCTCCCTACAGTTAGAATGGCTATTATCAAAAAGATAAAAAATAACAAGTGCTGGTGAAAATGTGAAGAAAAGGGAACTCTTAAACACTGTTGGTGGTAATGCAAATTAGCATAGCCATTATGGAAAACAGTATGGAAGTTTCGCAAAAAAACTAAAAATGTAACTATCCTATGATCCTTCAACTGCAATACTGGGTACTTCTCCCGAGGAAAGAAAATCAGTATATCAAAGGGATACCTGCACTTTCATGTTTACCGCAGCGCTATTCACAATAGCTAAGATATGGAGTCAACTTCAATGTCTATCAACAGATGAATAGATTAAAAATGTATATATACACAATGGAATCCTATTTAGCTATAAAAAAGAATGAAATCCTGTTATCTGAGGCAACATGGATAAGGACATTATATTAAGCAAAATAAGTTAGGCATAGAAAGATAAATACTGTATGTTCTCACTCATATGTTGGAGCTAAAAAAATTTTTGAGCATGGGGAAAGGTTGGTTAACAGATACAAAATTATAGCTAGATAGGAGGAATGAATTCTGGTGTTCTGCAGCACTGAAGGGTGAATATGGTTAACTATGATTTATTATATATTTTCAAAGAGCTAAAAGAGAGAATTTTGTTCACAACACAAAGAAAGGATAAATGTTCAAGGTGATGGATATGCTAATTACCCTGATTTGATTATACATTGTATAGACATATTAAAATATCACTCTGTATCCCATAAATATGTACAATTATTATGTGTCAACTAAAAATAAAAGGTGGAGGGCAGAGGGTAGGTATTCTCCTGGACACTGAGGCCACCCTGTTATGAAGTACAGGTGACCACAATAGGCACATTTTAACTATAGCGAGACAATATTTCAATGGTAACTATTTTTAGGTGAAAATCATCTTTAGCAAGTGCCTTTCATTTTGTCATTGGATTCTATCCAGTGTCAGTCATCATTATGTCTATTATCCACTAACTCATGCAGTGGGCTAGTTTTGTTAATGCTCTGACTGCCTCCGAGAATGGGGACTCCACAGAGGTGGCTGCACTTTGCAAGCAAAATCTAGGAGGAAAATGCCTTTGTTCTGACACTACTGATTTTGTTCTTAACCACTACCCCCATATTGCAGTCCGAATTCTTGTTTTCATACTGGTTTATTGTCGTCAGTTTTCCATTTTACTAAATTTTAGAGTAGGCATTTCATACATAATATTGAATTTTACAAAATTCTGTTTTATGTGACATTATTTCCATTTTCTTGAAAATCATTTTGTGATGGCTTTACTATTTTATCTTCTCAGAAATAAAGTGAAAAAAAGAAAAAAGTGAAAAATAATGCTTTATTTTTATGTAGCATCTGGAACATGGAGGATATCCAGTTAAGTATTAAGAAAAGGCATATTTATTAATCCTTAGGCAAATTGAATTTTGCAAGTGAGAATATTGCCAGCATATTTCAGGTAAAAAAAATTGCCATTACTAATAGAAATGTGGAACAAGTCCCCCTGGATTTTCCACACTGGTTTTCTCTGTTAATGAGACTCATTGCATTTGCCTAATGCTCTGCTTCCTTTGGCTGTACAGAAAAAAGAAATTTTTATACCTCCTCATTGAGAGATTTATTATGCATACATTATATATGGATAGAGAACAGCTAGTTCTCTCTTTTTAAAAAAATTGTATTAACAGCCCAGCTGTTCAGGATTGAGTGTGTAATATAGTGCAAGGCACATATTGAACTTAATTCTTCCCTGGGCATCAGGGAATAACCATTATCCAAGCATGGAGAGACAAATCCCCTCTGGTGTTCTCTTGTTGGTGCTCAGCCCAGTTTCATCTCCAGAGGAAGATGTGCTAACAACCTCCAACACTTTTCTCAGTGTCTGAGGACTGTGCAGAAATGTGACAGCAATGGGAGCCCAGGGACCATTTTTAATACACAGGGACTTCCATGGTACCTAGCTCATCCCACAGAAGAGGGAGAATGTACTCACTCCCTGAGAACACTGCGTTGTCCTTTACCTTTTTGCTCCCTTTTCATTTCCCTGGCCCCACTTTATCCTTTCTGATATCCTGTGCCCAGCACCATCCCCACCCCCTCCTCCCCCCTCCACCTTTACAGGACAGGACAGGACAATGGAGCAGATTGCGGAATGTTTTATAGCAGTTGCCCTACATAGGCCTATAGCAGTCAAAGCCAACCATCACTCATTAACCACTATCAATATTTTTGCCCTTCTACTTAAAGCTTTTGCCTCATATGGAGTGGGTGAAATAACATTCAAGTACTTAAGTGCATTTAATTATTTCTTTTTGGAAAAACAGGTTAAAAATGTCCTCCCCTCTCCCATATATGCAATAAGCTATGCAATCTGCAAATGGTATTTACAAAAAGAAAATCTTAATATTTTACAATGCAATTTTTTTTTCTTCATTATCAAAGTTGCCTCCCTTTTTCTCCCCACAACTCATGGAAGTTATTTTGTTCTCTAAAAACAGCAATTTTCCCCTTCTGGACTGGGATGTATGAATAAAATTCAAGCACTTCCCCAGATGCGGAGGAAAAAACTCTGCCTCATGGGTCCTTGCCTTGTTCTCTAAGAGAATAGTTGCATGGGAATTGGCAGGGATAGCAGTTCCATGCGTTCTGGTTTGTTTTATGATAAGGTCAGAAAACGGTTTAGAACTGCACCCCTCTCTGATTTCTGCCTCTTTGCTGCTACTACCTGGCATTACTTATGCATCTTCACTCAGCCCTCTCTATGGCTCCTTTATCTCTCTCTAAAGTATATTTAAGTGTCACCCCTTTGTCTTAAAACAAAAACAAGCCCTTTCCTTATGTCTTACTCTTACATGCTACTATCTTCTTTCCTCTTTGCTGTCAAATTCTTGAAAGTGTGAGCCAGTCCTGCTGCCCTTGTCTGCTGTGACCTTCTCATTCCTTACCATCCAAGTCCGCCTCCTACCCTTCTA